AAGGCGAGGATGATATATAAATACCTATAATGTAAGTCTTTATATACCTTTTTATATACCTACCTGCTATGTAAATATTTGCCTATGTCAAACGTTGGAATTCTGTAATTTTTCCATTTCTTAACTTTCAGTCAACATAAATTAAACTCCCAATATAAGTATTTTTTATCCCAAATCAAAAAAATAAGAAGATAGTAAAATCCATTTATTGTGATATAAAAACATTATTATTTTCGTTCTAAATAAATGACCGCACGCCTATGATACGTCATGAAATTACAAAGGACGCGCCGACCAAAGGTTTTTATGCTATTTCAAGTGACTTCAGATAAAGTATACTGTATAGTTGCTTGTTAAGTTTGCGCAAATTTTCATTACATAACCAAAAATTGGAAAAAAATGTTATAATCTATGTTCCACAAATCTATAAAAAATCACGGTTATGAATGATGTCATCGGTTTGTTCGTACAGTGGTCGGTGACTTGTCGGTGACAGTGTCTGGGATCCGGCCATGTAAATTCGGTCTAAATAGCGTAGCAGAATGAACAGAATGTGTGTCGCGGGATCTTGTACACGATGACTGACAGGTTAGCGACTGCTGTACGAACGGGGCTATAATTATGAAGCAACAGTAATTTTCTCAAAATTATTTACAAAAGATCATTTTTGAGGTTAGGGGCCACTAGGGGCCTATTTGAAACTTTGATCCAAAAAACCTCTGGATTTTAATATGTAGTTTCGCATATAACCCTTAAAAGATATTATTAATATTTTACGAGATGCATGCAAAGGCCTGAAAATAGGAACCTTTCCCCCACCGCCGGCCCACTTTCTACAGCCGAGGACTTTTATACGCTCACCTCGAGGAAATAGCTCTTATTTGGTGTAATTTCCTTAATTTTATCAGCCTATTTGTGCTTTTCTCTGTTGTGATGTTCTTTCAAGAAACATGAGTCCCGGAAAGCTCCGTTTAGGGTGTTGTAGCTATAATTTCTGGTTTCTTCTATTCCAACAGCGTTTGACTACTGAACTTCTATGGAGTCTAAAACATCTAGCCTATATCGTACCTACGATTATTTGACAAATCATGAGCGAGCCGTGATGCTCGCCTCATGTCGCGGGCGGCCGCCATTCATCATCAAGCCGGTCCTGCTTTTCATAAACGCCGCCCGGCAGGGGGGGGTGGGGACAGCGACGTTCGCCATAACCGAAAGATCCGTGAACACCATCAGTCTTGTCACGCTTGTAATAGAAGTCACCAGGAAGCGGCTACGTGAGATGTCCCTGTGATTGAGATGTCTCCGACCGAAATATGACGGCGAATATTGTTGGATTGATACTGTTGATGGTTTATGCTCTGCGTAGTTGCATTGTTTGGGAAAACATCGGGCATCGTTGGGAAGAAACGATGCGCAAAACTATATAAATGAGGAACAAGCTCTACTGCTAATTTAGACCAAAATATGATGCTAGTCCAGTGAGACTAGGCTGCTTATCACATTACCGAAAGATGGCTCACTAATGTTTTGACTGCCATAGAAAGGTTTTTTTATGTATTTGCTAAGCATTGGGAAAACAGTCACGAGACTACATGTTTTGTCTGAGTTCTTAAGATGAACATTTTTATTAGCAAGTATCACATGTGTAGCTCTTTAATCTACAAGTGTTTAGAAAACTAGAGTATCTCAATCTAGTTCGCAAGATTCAAACTGTATCACAATTTGATGAGAACTTGGGAAAACAATGTTGATTTTACTCGCAAGATCGTAGATCTTACTGTTGTATTTTTTGTGTGGTAAAGAAGCTTGCACCCTATTTCCGTTTCTCAAACATGATCGCTGAAGTGTTTAATGTTGTCCCTCTAGCTAAACAGAATGTATGTCCGTTCACTCTATACTGCATTGGTTTGGGATTGTGTAGATATCTACTTCTTGCTTGGCCGAACAACTTAAACGTGTTGGCCTCCTTAACGGTGTTCCTGAATCTCATACGATCAGCTGCCACAATCTCTCAGTCTGGTACATCGACCACTTGCAAGACCCTGATCGTATTGTCCTTCCACCTTTGCCTTGGACGTTCTGGTGGTCTTCTATGGATGGGGATTTTCTGGTTCCAGTGTTTAGCCCAAGAAAGACTATTCGCCCTTAAGCTACGTTCTTACAAAGCGTGATCCTCTGGACGAGACCTGAGTTTATCTATGACACCACCTCCGCTCTCGCTAAATATCATACACGAATATTTCCAGGCATATACACGTTAGTCAAGAGTGTGGGCAGATCGTAATCGGCCTTTGGAATGTGTGGTGGAACGCGTCAATCTGAACTTTAGATTTGTATTTTTTCAATCTTCAAGGTATCCATTTCTCAGCTCAGCGTCTTTCAAATTGTGTTCCCAAATTTCTTCATGCAGGTATTCATTTCCTTACCCAACAAAGGTCTTTCTTTTATTATTTACCTGTACCCGTTACTCTCAAAAGGACACAACTATCAATCGGAAGCTCTTCCATTGTCGGCTTTATGGAGTTCACTAATCTTGATCGTGTTAGCTCTCCACGATTCTCGCTGCTTCTCTTTTCATTCTCCAGTCAAGAACAGAATCACGAAAGAGAGATCGAAAGCCTACCACGCTGCGACTTTTTGCCTAGTGAGAATGTAGCTTTACCTTTGCTATGCGTGTCATTGAAGTTAGATTCAATTTCTCATTTCCATAATTCACCATTTCCATCACATGTGTGTTGTTGCATACTGAGTTGATCCATAGATTCGATTTAAAGTTTGGTTAAAATCCATGGCATTCTATTTGTCAGTGCGTTGCATAAGATAAAAAGCTGTTTTGCAGATTTCAATGGGAGAGCAGTATTGTCAATTTGCCAACATGACTCCTGGTTCTTAAGAACAATCTTGTCTTTGATTAATTCCCGTGGAAATTGAAAAATTCCTTTCCAACGGATACCTTTAACAAGTTGCAAATGTCGCGTTCCGCTAACACGTGCGTATATGAACCGTGCAAAAGCCCTAATGACTACTCAGCTATGTAGCATACGTCTGTCTACCGTACATGTGTCACTCATTTCTTGGAGGATGTTCACCAATTTGTTCATTCGTCCAACAGGACTCGTTTTGTGTACAGCGGCTTGCCAATCATGATGAACGGAATCGCGAAATGTGTCAACCTCGTCCGCGAGTTGTTTGATTAGCTCAATTAGGTTGTCTGTTGTGTCTGGTGCTAGTGTAAATAGAAAATGATCGGTGGCGAGATACAGGTTCATCCTTATGATGCAGTATTTGGATCAATTGGCATAAACAATTGGTATTATTTGGGTGAGTGTGCTCTTATATAAACTCTGATAGTAACTTCAATTTTCCTTATCAGGTAACAAGCTTGTTGAATAGACATTTCTTATTGCCTCCATTTTGTATCCTCTATCTAAAATGTAGTACCATCAGAAGTTTCACGTGTACGTCAGACTTTTTTAATGATTATGGCTTACATTCAGGGTGCTTCAGAAAAAGAACTTATCAATACTTCTGAGGTAAAAAGTGACAATAATATCAAAAACAATTCCAATAGTCACAGCTTTTAAAATGTCCCATTCACAGGATACAGGGTGCCGTGGATTTTTACGCCACTCATGAACTCCAGCGAATTTTTAGAGTAGAACGAAAAAAAAAACAGATATACAGGTATATCGATTTTAGCTTAAATATCCATATTTTTTTTCAAAGGGGTTACCTTTATCCAAAAATGTAATAGATGTTCCAAAAAATTCGGAGATGTAGAAAATAATTTTCTTCGAAGATAAACTTTATTCGGTTTCAAAATTATAATTTCAAATTTCTGTGTCTCAGTCAGTTATTTGTTGTTAGTAATTTTTTCATTCACTTCATTGCCGCATTTTTCTGAAACACCTTGTATACACTAGTCTACATTGTAAGCAAATCATTTGTCTTGGTTAAGTTTTTAACAATATCGTCAACATTCGAAAATCAAGCAAGGCTTGGAGCATCTTGACGTATTCTACTTCACAGAAGAATATACAAAATATTCCTGTAGGTTCGTATAGTATCTTAAAATATGTAGTATACTGAGAAATTAAATATATTGCAGCGTGATCTATTTTAAGGAACTTCTAGGCGGTGACGGTGGAGGTCTTCTAAGGGTTTGTTTTACCCTAGTGCGAATGCTGCAATCAAAATTATATTCTCCTAATAAGGAAATCGGAGTTAGAAAAGTAGAAAAAACGAACTACAAATATGAGTCCTTCAAAGAATAGTAGTTTGAAGGATTCATACTATCAGTTTTATACCAATGCTCGAATTTGCTAGTTCTTTGCTAGATCGCAGTCAACATGGCTCTGCTTGAACAGAGCGAAATTCCCCTCTAAAATAGTTATTTATTTTATTTGAAACTGTACACATATTGTTCAATTAAAGGTTCGATCAAGATTATTTACAATCTACATAACCTTCCACAGCTTACCACAAACCCATCTCTCGAATTGCTTTGGTAACTAGCTTTTATTATCAAAGCAGCATTGAATTCTTACCGTTATACGATTTTTATTTTATTTTACTATATTTGTACGATCCCAATTAACAACATGTTGCAGCGAAGCCGCGCAGATGGGAAAAGGGACAATGTTGCCAGATAAGCGGTAATTACCGGTAGGGCAGGGAAATAATGTCTATGGACTAGTTGCATGGGCTGTTTGACTGACTCCGTTTAATTTCTGTGTTGTACATGTTCGTAACTGACTTTTTTCTCAGAGGATTTAGATTTTATCGAACTTAATCGTTTATGAACTCATGACGGCGATGCATAGCAAGTGCAGAATCAACCCACTTGAGGCCATTATTTTTTGCATTGGGGTGAAAAGATTGACAAAAGCACTGCTGATTCAGACAGCCAGTTTGATTTCTGCTCGGTGATTTTAAAATTCTTCTTGCAAGTTATACATTTTTCATCCATTAATAATGTTCAAGCAATATGAGGTCCTAACGGTGTTTCTTATTTTGTTTCAGGAGTACATGACACATCGTTCCTCGATCTTCGGATGATTCGAGGCGGACAACAACTCCCATACGTTTAGTGTAAGAAACAAGTGCTCGTGTCAAGTTCCATCCTCTAAACCAAGTGTGCCAGGAATGATGTGTGAATGTGCGTGTATGTGATCCGGTGGTGCGTGGTGCGTCCATTCGTGCATCATTGTGCGTGAGTTCGTGTGCGTGCATTTAGCATGAGTTCATATTTCGCCAATTATCTGCCGGACATGCGAAATGGCGGTGTGGTATCTGCAGAACACCAGCACCAGCACTACGGCGCTGCAGTGCAGGTGGCCCAAACTGGACCTCAAGGAGGGGGCAACGTGCAAGGGGACCCAAATGGATGTGATCCTACCATGCGACAGGGTATCCCGCCACATCACTACGCCGCTGGGCCTCCGGCTGCGGGACAGCCGCCCCAGGGCATGCCCTATCCAAGGTGGGTTGATAGGTAGGCTATTTTTTATAAATAAGCAATGTAGAACGACAATTATTTGCTGCTTTTAAGAAAAATGTTTTAACCAACGATAGGTATTGTCGAACACGTTGATTAAAATCTGCAAACGCAGTGCTTTGTACATGTTCGCACCAACAGTGGCGTAAATTATGTTATGTTATTTATATATTCCTAATTAAAATAGCGAAACAACCCGGGGCCTTCAAAAAGGGTGTGGAATTCGGTATAGATATGTGGTATAGCAGATAATAGGAACTGCTGAACAGTGAACCAACTGTATTGCGGCAGTGACTGTAATAATCACGTGATCAGACGAAAAGGGGTATTTCGACGGCTTGCTAACACTTTGACACACTAATGCTACTGTACCACTTTTATCTAAAAATGTCACGCACCTGCGTCCGTGACGTCGTCACTCGGTTGCTAGGCAACTTGATGCTTCTATTTCTTTCTAACATACGTACGCCCCTCGCGCATTTCTCTCGTATAGATTACAACGTCAGTGGTGTATGGACTTCTCTGTATATAGGATTTCACACTTTTTTGCTGCTCCAGGTTTTTACGCTGCTTCAATGGTATTAGACCTGCTATACTTCACTATAGCCATATTCTACTTGAAGATAGGCAACACAATACTATACTATCGCGCCCAAAAAATTGAAGATGAAATGAAATACCGTTGCGTGATCTATGAGAATTTGTCACAACTATGTTTCTGCTTTTCGTTTTAATTAGGAAGTTACATTGAAAAGGTTAGTGACTCATAGAAGTCGCTGAACACATGTTAGCATACCATTTCAATGCAGATTTCTAATTAGTGCGGGGAGTAGAAGTACAGATGTGACAAGTTCTCTTAGATTACGCTACGGTATCTCACTTCACCTCTGATAATTGTTTGGATGCGGAAATATAGTATTAGGTGATTACTTTTAGGTTATTCACTGGTATAGCCTAACCTTGAATACATAGATATATTGTGGAATAATCGAACCGAAACGAACCCACGTAGTGACAATGGACTCAAGTACGCTGCAATGATTTACTTTACATGAAAAAAGATTAGGCAAAATGGACAAAAGCATTTGTTTTAGATTATCTATAGTTATGTTCAACATAGACTGAGTTGGAAAGGAAGCTATCTTACATATCAAATGCAAGTAATCTTTAAATATGATGCATGTGCTACAAATACGAGGTAGCAAGTGACTAAGTCAACGAAGCTTACGAATTACAGGTTTTTAAAACTCGTATAACACTTTCCAGATGAAACAACTATCTGTGGAATCTTGCATGTATCAAGCCTGTTTTGTATTTAGGTTATATTTTGCACCTTATGTTAACTATTTCATATTGTTAGCTACGTATATACGTTGTAAGTAAATACTCCCACGGCAACGAGGCCAAACCAAGAAGCGACTAGATAAACTACTGTGGAGTGATAACCAATTTGGTCTACTATCTGGTCTAAGTACTGAGACTTTGACTAACATCTCTTTTGGACAAACCTAGTGATGACAGACCTAGCCAAATATCTTAAGTCAAATACTCGCTGATTTTGATGTAGAATTTGAAATTTATCATGTAGTTAAATCTTCGTGTTGTTTGACCGCCAAATGAAACATGTTTAGGATTGAATGTCGGCTAACGTTTCGGCCCAAAATTGCATGTTTCATTTGTACTTTGCTAAAAGCCTCCGAGGTGGATATAACCTTACTAAACATTCGATCCACCATATCTGGTTTTATTTCGTGCCCAGCTTAACATGGAGATTTATCAGCGGGATAAGTTTCAGATGTTACATATATCCTGTTTTTGCTTCTCTGAAATATGGCGTTCTGTCGTTGTCGTATTCAGTAGTTTAAAAAAATGTATACATAGATATTGTACTACTCAGTTTCGGACGTTGCTGATTTCTAGGTTTGACCAAAAGAGGCGTATATCAGACTTTGAGCAGACAATCGTAGTTTTGACTTTACTGGTAATAACACTTCGATGCTTCCAATTTTTCATTAGACGGAAATGGACTAGATCTTGTATACTCGTATCATAAAATTACGATTTTTCTCAAGCGACCCGCAAACAAAAAAATCATGCATGCATCCTTTTTTTGTTTTTGTGTTGTCTTAAACTTATGGAAACATGGTATGGTGGTCTGAACATGATAATGCAGTGAGTTACGTCTTTTCAGAAAACTTTTATGTGGAAGTATAAGGATAATGCAGTTTTGCATATAATAGGGTTTCGTTCAATAGCTATGGGGTTCGATGCAAACCTATTTTGTGAGTTAAAAAAAGTCTTTCTTGTAGAATCTTTTATAAAACACTTAGATATTGTTAAACATTAGAAACAACAAATAATAAAGTTTAAACGGGGAATGATGATGGTGAATTGAATGAATGGATTCATCAAAACATTTACTGAAGCCTCTGAAGTTGCATCTAAGAAAAAAATGGTCAAAAATTCATGAAAACTCTTGGATCTACAAAACTAATATTACTGGCGAAAGTTTTCAATATGGATGACATTCGTTGGGCCACTGCGCTACTTTTTCAGACTTCCGAAGTGATAACCTTCTGCAACGTCAATACATACGACAACAATACGAAAAAATAGCGTGTACGAGGCAAACTTTTTGATGCTGTTTTTCACAGATTTATAAATCTGACAGTTGTTAAATTAGGTCAAAATTTTGGTTTAGTTTAATATATATGTGGTGTTCCACAAGGTACAATTTTGGGTCCTCTGTTATTCAATATTTATTTAAACGATATATTCAAAATTAACAGTACTGGTAAAATAGTCAGTTTTGCAGACGATACTGCTATACTCTATAAAGGTAAGGATTGGAACGTCTTAAAAGATATTATCCAAAATGACTTTTGCAAAATTATTCAGTGGTTTAATAACCGAAAATTAACAATTAACTTTACTAAAACTCATTTTTTACCATTTTCATCACTATCTAATCATCTACCAAAATATAACCACCTTCGGTTTAAGGTAAATGATAAAAATATAAAAATCAATAGAGTTAATGATACAAAATATTTAGGAATTTATCTAGATCCCCACTTGAGATGGGATGTACATATTTCTCACATACTAAAGAAAATTAGATTCATAGCATATAAAATAAAATTTCTCACCGGTATATTAACTGAATATTATCTACGAATAATATATCAAGCTTTAGTCGAGCCACACATAACATATGGTATAGTAGTGTGGGGTGCTGCATGCACGAAATACTTTAACGATTTAGATGTACATACTTCAAAGAAGAATTTTAAAATCAATGTTAGGCAAATCAAAATTATACCCAACTAATGACTTATATAATGATGCACAAGTATATGATACTAAACAACTTTACTTCTTACATACCATCACTCATTATCACAAAACTATTAGTGAACACGACATAATTAAACATAATCACAAAACCAGATATAAATTACGCGCAAAAAATGTTCCTAAACCAAACAAATCCCTAATGAAACGATGTCACCTGTATATAGCTCCAAAATTGTACGAACATTTACCAAATAATTTAAAACAATTACGCAATACATTAGGCTTCAAAAAAAAATTAAAAAAATTTATTATCACGATTGGAAGAAATCAAATTAATAAAATAATCTCAAATATTACACAAGAAATGCTCTACCATTCTTACCAATAATTTCTTTTTTCTCTCTATTTTATTATATTTTGCAATTCAACATACATATGATCCATGCACAGGCGTTGTCCTCCTATGGATATATTATATTTATTTACTCGTTTCATGTTCCCTGTATTTTAGAGTAAATAAATATTATTATTATTATTATTATTATATAGTAACTTGTCGACAAGTTCCTAAGCCTCGTAAGAATCCTTTAATTAAAGCCTTGTTCGTGAGCGTCAGCAGAGGTAGGGTAGTGGGGCAAAAATGCCTTGCGGGCGGCTCATGACGTTATCCTTCACACCATCATAACCGTATTTCATAGGTTGCTCATTATTCGCTTGATAATAATACAACGGACAGTTCTCCCACCTCCAGGTTCCCCCCGTACGACCGCATGGACATTCGCAACGCGGGGTACTACAACCAACAGCAGATGGATGGTACCGGGGCGTACGGTCGCCCTGACAGCCCTTCGATGCACATGGGCGGCGCGGCGGGGCAGCCCAACGGGCACCAAACGCCAGTCGTCTACGCCAGCTGCAAACTCCAAGCGGTGACGCAGAATGGTGTGCTGGGCGGCGGCAGTCCCCCACTGGTGGACGCCACTGGGGCTCAGACCATGACCGCTCATCACATGGGGCACCATATGCAGGAACAACACCCGCAGCATCATGCGGTGAACTGCATAGAAGTAAGATCACTTTTTCTCTTGCTACGTAGGTTGCGTCCTTAAGGTGGCACGCCCCTTTTTTATATTTCTTTTCAACTTTCTCTTTTCATCTGATGATTTCATGGTGGGGATAGAGATGACTAAAAAACAATGTTTTCATTTTTTTGTTGTCAAAAATGCATTTTTTGTGCATTTTGTTGTGCATTCTTTCCTCAATCGGAACTTATTAACAAATGTAAGTACAGCTCTGAAATTATGTGCGAATATTCCTCTTTTATGGAATAATGGAACTAGTGATTACTTTTGTTCTTATCACTTTTCCTTTTCGAAAAATCGTTGATTTTCTTGAAGCCTCGTTTCGCAGCAAGTTATCAAGTAAAGCAAATATTTTTCGAAAGGGAAAAATGATTAGAACAAAAGTAGTCACACGTTTCATTCTTCCATAACAGAGGAATATTCACAATCAGTTTCACAGGACAATAAAATGCACAAAAATGCATTTTTTGTCAAAAAAAAAATTAAAACATTGTTTTTTAGTCATCTCTATACACACCAGGAAATTATCAGATGAACAGATTTAGAATACTGCTGCAAACAGGAAGTTGAAAAAAAATAAAAAAGGGACGTGCCACATCAAAGGACTTTGTTCAGTATCCAGTAGACTCGTGAGGTCCGTACAATAACGTGAAATATTTCCGCACAATTTCACGTGATTCCTTGTAATGCACATATAAAACGCATTCGATATAAATTAGTTTTAGAAACTTTATACACATGAGGATTTCGTGGAAGAATGTAATCACCTTTGCAAAGTTATTTAAATAAAAGATCTCAATCATTTGGCAAAGAAATATTTATAAAATATGGTGTTCCTCCACAAGGAACAGTGTTGGGTCCACTTTTATGCAATATTTATTTAAATGATTTACTAAAAATTAACTGAACTGGTAAAATAATCAGCCCTGCAGGTGATACTGCTGTAATTTTAAATGCGAAGACTGGAGTGATTCAAAGAATATCATTTAAAGTGATTTCTGGAGAAATTGTTCAGTGATTTAACAATAGAAGATTAACTATATATTTTAGAAAAATCCATTTTTTACCCTTTGTGACATAATAAAATAATTATACCAAGCCTTGTTTTATCATAAATAACGAAATTATTCTAACAATTGAGTCGACAACATTAAATATTTAGAAATTATATATATTACATACATTTTGAAAAAAAATCGATTTGTAGCATATAAAATCAATTTTTTTACAATTATTGTCACAAGATCGTTTTCTCATACTATATGCCTTGCTGCAATTGAACCACACTTGATTTATAGCGTAGCAGCATGCTCGACCTAAACTGATGATTTAGAGGTCCCCCAGAGGACAGTTTTAAACTCAATGTTTTCAAAATCAAACTTGTATTCAAGCGACGACCAAATACTCGTACAATGACACAAGTGTTTGATATCAAATAGCTCTGTTTCTTACATAGTGTCACTTGTTTCCACAAAGTGTTCAGAGAACAGGATGAAACAACACATAGCCATAATATTAAATATAAACTACGAGCAAATATACCAAAGCCACACAAAGATCTTATACTTAGCGCCTAAATTTCATGAAACTCACCTACAGATATTAGACATTTCCTATCTCGGCATACATTTGAAAATATTTAAAAAGATGGATTTGCTCATTAGGAAGAAATCATATTCACAAAATTATGACAAATATATATTGTTATTATGATTATAACTCATTGTAACGCTCCGTAATTCCTTGATAATTCATCTTAGCCTTCGATAATCCCCTGTAAGTACCAAAAATTTCACGATATTCACCGAAATTATTATCAGGTATTACAAGCGACTGCTTTTGATGATCAAAAATTTATGTGTACAACAAATTCGTCAAGTGAATTACCTCCCGATTAGATAAGTATAAGCTAAGTTATATTCTATTGTACATCAGAAATCACAAGTCAAAAAATGTTTGATGAGATCTCGTATTATGGTAGTGTGTATGGAGAACAATTGAATGAGTCATTTCGAAAACCACTCAAGTTATATTGTTCTAACTTGTGTTTTTTTTGTTAAAAACATTGTGTTAAAGGTATTCTGGTTATAATCCACGTAAGTCAATACTTTCCTTGCTCGGCGTAACAGAAGTTTATTACAAGATCAGTGAGTGTAACATCTGGAAATTATCGAGTGATTATTACCCTGATCAATCTCTGCATTCTATATAAAACTACAGACGTAACTGTAAAGCTTCTAATGTTTCGGTCACCTCAGTGGCGTCTATCAAATTTATCAATTTTTTTGGCCAAAATATTTTCTGCGGAGAAAAACATGTAACACTTCAAAGTTATAAAAATTAAGTATAGTATATTAAGTCCAAAAAAGTCATTTGTAACTCGTTTCTTTGGGAACGACAGCCTTATGAGGTTTTTGAAATGACTTAATTCGATTTGAAAAGCCTAGAACGGACCAGTCGTAACATGATATTGCTAATTTTCCTACTACTTGCACGATGATAGATAAAAAATATTTTTCAAAATCGTTCCGCTGAAGAAAATGTATCTTATTTTATTTTGATGAAAGGAACGGTTTTTATAGAAAGATCCTGAAAATACCTGATATGAGAATATGCCTATGGAAAAAACTGTAAAAAAATAAAATTTTCAAAAAATTAACCCATTCATCTTTGCACACAGCTGTAAAAAACAAGATTAATAGACTCTCGCTTTCCACTAGTTTTTGAGATCTGTGAAACCTAAAAAATGACTTGAATCTTTGGGCCCATGAAGTCTTTTGCACAATATTTCTCCATGAGGATTATATAATATATGGTCCTTATATCAACTTTTCATTTATTGTTCGGATGTACTTCTTGTATAAACGAGCCTCTAAACGAGCAATAAGTTTGCTGCAATTTTTGTCTATAATAAACGGCAACCGAGCAATCATGACCATGAAATATGGAATACATATGCTACTCTTGTTATACTTTGTCGTCAGGTAGGCTACAGTGGGTCACGGCAGCTTGCACTGTACGCAGAAAAACATCAAAACTTACAATTTTGCATAGTGTTTTCGCTTACCTTCTGATTGAACACCTGTATGTATGAAAAAATGTGTAGCTATGTAGCCGGGCCAGACTAAAAGCATTACCGTAAAAAGTTTACTTTATCGGAACCCTTTCAATACTGTCACCTTTTTCTTACATTTGTCCCAGCAGCCGCCTCCACACCATCAGCAACAGCAGCAACACATGATGTATGGCGGACAGCCGCCCACGCAACCGGGCATGCATCAGCCGCCCCCGCATCAACAGCCGCCCCCCTTGCAGCAGCAGCCCCAACCGGGACAGCAGCCGCCCAACAATACGGCGTCCGCCCTGCCTAGTCCTTTATATCCATGGATGAGGAGTCAATTCGGTGAGTAACAAACAGTACAATATTTTCAGAAGTGGGATCAAAAGACAGTAATTGAATTTTCATCACTATTGAAGTAGGGTATCTCAAAAGGTAGTTCAGGGTTCAAATTTCGGACCACTTTCGATGCTTTCACTTAAACATCTTGAGACCCGTGAATTTAATTATGGAAGAACGTATTAGATGTGTGCAAATGTAGGCACGTTGAAACATTTTTCTCTTGAATATTACGATTGTGGAACGATGACCTGGATTGGGTGATATGTGTCTCAACAAATGTTCTTTCAACAAGATGGGACGTTTTCCTGATGGTCTTGTTGTTTCTTGCTATGGTGATGGCCACAGGTTTGCGAGAATATACAATCTAACCCGGCTTGACATTTTTTGTAAGGGCGCCTATCCCATGGGTAAATTCTATCCAACATTTAACATTAACATTTTTCAAGTTATTGATAAACCTAGGCTGCAATTGTGCCAAAAGGTTATCGCCATTGTAATTGGAGAATAGTCATCTGTTCAAAAACGCCAGGAGGGTGCTCAAGGAATATTATTTATAAAACATAACTTTAATACTTCTTTATTCTGGTAATATAAATAACTCTTGTTATGGTCACATAAATTAAAAACAAAAGGTGTAATGTTTTTTTCGGCAATATGATCTGTCTAGTTTCTGACCAGGTTTCTAAACCTAGTGAGCTATCACATTACTTTGATGGAATGAGAATTTTGATATGCTGTGACGTCAGTCAGCCCCCCTATGTCATTCCTTCTTTCACGTATAGCTCACCTGCCGTAAATTTCAAATGCAACACAGTAGGTAAAAATGCAAATTTCTGCAAAACCCCTTAGATAATTGACAGAGCACCACACCCTTAGTGCCCTGTTACGCTTTGCAAAATTAGAACGAGATTCAGGTATTTTCAAAATTGCATAATAGACCCTTTACCCTCAGTATCCTTTTGACCTTGTCTCATCAACTGGTGGCGTTTTAACTACCTACAGATATATTTATGGGGCTTCTGTGAATTGCTGGTCTACTTTTGCATAATCCAAAGGATGTCTCAATTTCACACAATACCCTTGCACAGCAGGAGACTATTTTACAACCTGAAAGGCAAAGGTCTTATCAGCTGCCTATTTCAGAACGACCACACTCTATTTCCTTGAGCGTCTCCATTTAATAATTTTAAATATCATACAACGTAGGAATACCTTCACACTACAATAATTCTGCTTCCGATTTTTGAAATTCTTTTATTCTAATAATAAGGCCAGACTGATTCTACTACAAAATGTTCATTTACGAATACATGGATCTGTTTATCGGTATTAGAAGTACTTATCGAGCTGACACTTTTTTTTACCGAACTTCAAGAGACACTTTTCAAGCTTACAATTTTTCGCTGAACAAAGAGTGAGGCAAATTTAAGCACCTTTAGGATGGGGAATATTTGTTGAACTTTTTCTTTCTTTACAAATCTTAATATCTGTGACAACGATCTGTAGCTCAAAACGCATACAAACGTATTTCATTTGAGACACTTTTGCTCTATACAGGGTTATCCAAATTAAGTGTCCACCATTAGTAACTTTGTTATTAGTGAAAATACAAAGTTGTTTGAATTAGCAAACTAGTAGCATTTTTAACGCTGGTAAAAATGAGAAATAAAAAAAAACAATTGAGAGTCGTTATTTTGATTTTTTTCAGTAAAATAACATTTTTTTAAATGGAAACCCCTGTATATTATATTTTTTTCTGTGAAAGCATCAAATTTTAAACAAAAAAGCTTACAGTAACTTTTCTCCTAGGTTACAAATTGTTGAAGTTATGGCCTCCAATCTGAAACAATTAAATTGTATCGACAAACTTTATTTTCAACATCAACTTATAATCTTACAAAATACAATAACAATTTTTTTTAAAGAAGATGCTCGAAAACACCACCTTGTTCTTCAATACATTTTTGGGCACGTTTTTCAACTGCTCGAACTGCCTTAAGTATGGTCCTACCATCTATCTGGGTTATCTTTTCCCTAACTGCAGTCTTTAACGCGTCAAGGTTATCGTACCTTCGCTTGTAAATTTGGTTCTTTAAGTAACCCCACAAGAAGTAATCAAGAGGGTTTAGATCTGGTGATCTGGGAGGCCACTGTATTGGGCCATTTGTTCCTATCCACTGATCATTAAAAGTAGTACTTAGAAAATGATAAGTACCTCTGGAGTTGTGGGCAGGTGCGCCATCTTGCTGAAAATGCAGATGATGTCTACTTATAAGATCCAATTCGTCTAAGAAATTAGTCAGAATTTCTGACATAAATTCCACATATCTTTCACCAGTTAGGGTTCCCTCATAAAAGAACGGGCCAACAATTTTTGAACCAATTATACCGCACCAAACGTTGAAACTGAAACGGACTTGTGGGCCTCTTGGATGTACTAACAAAAGATTTTCTCTTGACCAATAATGGTGGTTTTTTCTATTAAACATTCCAGAATTTGAAAAATTTGATTCATCTGTCCATAAAAGGTAACGAAAGTTATTTACATTTTGGCGACAGAAGCTAAGATACCAATGGCAAAAAACAAGTCTTCTCTCTGGATCCCCTGCCAAAAGCGTTTGAACTGGTCGGTACTTATACGGAATAAATTTGTATTTTTTTAAAATCCTTTGAACAGTACCATAACTGAAATTAGAGTCCTTGAGAATATCTGCTATTGAATTCTCACGATAAGCTTCAAAATATCCAATAACTGCAATTTCCGTGGCCTCGCTTATTATGAATTCTTTTTTTGCCCTTGTTTTAGCAAAAACATTTTCGTTGCCCCTAAATTTTCGATAAAGTCTCAGAAAAAATCGTTCATACGGTTGAATGCGAGCGGGATATAATTCACTGTAGTATTCTCTTGCTCTCAAGGAGGATTTTCTGCACACTAAATAGCATTCTAACATATCACACTTTTCTTCATGGGAGAACATTTTTCTTTAAATTAATGACACAATAAAGCTTATAAACAAGTATTTACACTAATGTTTGACATTATTTGATTTTATCATTGTTTTCCAAAGCCTTCTAGTTGCGAGTATGTCCAGTTTAACAATTTGTCGCTTATCTTAATGCTGTCAAATCGCGAACGCCATGTTGTTTTCATAGCCGTCTTAATATTATAATACTGCAAATAATTAAAAATATTTATCGTTATTTTGACTTTATTTTTGACTTTAGCGGAAAAGTCATTATGAACTTTTTTGTTTAAAATTTGATGCTTTAACAGAAAAAAATATAATATATAGGGGTTTCCATTTAAAAAAATGTTATTTTACTGAAAAAAATCAAAATAACGACTCTCAATTGTTTTTTTTTATTTCTCATTTTTACCAGCGTTAAAAATGCTACTAGTTTGCTAATTCAAACAACTTTGTATTTTCACTAATAACAAAGTTACTAATGGTGGACACTTAATTTGGATAACCCTGTATATTGAGTCTTATAACGTATGTAATTTCTGGATAAACTCGCAAAAAGCCCTTGACCATAGAATCATGTACTGAGAATCACCAAGTCCGTTTTGCATGGTAGTGTTAATTGTGAGAAATATCACTCTTCCTTTTCTTTATGGCATCATTTTGATTGATTCAAAATATATAGATACTGTTATTACAAGCGTATGTTTTTCTGGACTGTATTTTGACTTAATTTATATCTAGACAATAACAGTACATTCAAATTTGATGATTTATCTGAAGTGACAGGATTGCTCTTTTCCACCTCTGCTAGTTGTAGTTGCCCGTTTTTGTACAAACAAGCGTAACCCAGCAATAAACCAATATAAAGCAGTCCAAGCAATGAACAGCCACCCACTGTTTTTATTGCCCGTATTGTGTGCCTCATTTTCGAAAATCCCTTGACTGCAGTAGTTCACCGGCTGATTCCATACGAGTAACTAGTGTTGTAAGTGTTTCGGTAAAGTTTTCCAAGCGGGACTCGCCGATGCTGTAAGGAGCTTTGTTTTCGTGGTGCTTTAGTTTTACCGACGGCGAAGTCGCTGTCTGGGACGGTGAAATATGGCTGTGTTTAGGAAGGATAATGCTCCTAACGAAAAGCACCGACAAATAGAGGCGTAAGTGATTAAAATCAAGTTGGCAAGGTGAACTTCGGTTTGTTGGTATTTTGATGATAATTACGATATGCAGTAACTTATGATAGAGATAGTAACGTGCCCTTTAACGTATTATGGTTTTCGCGTTACATTTTCAGTGTTTCAAAGTTCAAAAAACGCATGCTAGTATCGATTTATAGGTTTTACTTCTTGAGTCAACTTGTGAGGAAGTACTGTAAGCAAGAAACATTCCGTAAATTTGATGTTATCTTTTTTAAAAGTTATACTGACATATAAATCCGAACACCCAGTTTAAATGGTTTTATTTTAATAAAATTTTGTATAAGTATACTTAATGAAGCATAATAAGTAAATGATAAAAATTTCAAAATGATTGCACTGCTTTAAAGCCCTTTGACCTTGAATAATGTGTGGATGCACCCTGATGTGCTACGCATTCTCCAACGCACCTAGGCATGCTTCTGATCAGGTGGCCAATGTCCTCCTGTGGTATCTCATTCCAGGCAACCACCAACTCCTCTCGAAGTGCTTCTAGAGTCTGAGGAGGACGTTGCAAATTGAGCAATCTCATACCCATCATATCCCACACGTGCTCAATTGGGGATAAGTCGGAAGATCTTGGTGGCCATGGTAACAATGTGACTTCATTATGTTGAAAAAAGTCTATTGTGACTCTTGCAACATGTGGTCGGGCATTATCTTGTTGGAAAGTTGGATCTGCCAGGGTGTCAAGATAGGGTAAAAGATGGGGTTCTAGAACTTCGTGGATATAACGCTGCACGTTCATGTTACCTCTGATGAAGATTAAAGCTGACCTGGAACCATAAGCTATAGCACCCCAAACCATAACTTCAACAGTGTGATGAACATGTCTTTCAACAAA